AATACTACTTTTAATTTTTCAATTAACTTCTCTTGACCAATATTACCTTGACACACCACTATTAGTAATGGCATTTTAGTTTCATTTAATTCAGATTTCAAATCATCAAAATAATTTTTGAGTATCACGAAATCCAAATCAATGAAAAAATAACGGTCATTCATGTTGAGTTCATTAAAATATTGAAATATTTTAATACATGTGAAATCTATTGCATTTGAATAAATGAGTTGAAGATGGCCGCTCTGTAAGAACTTTGAAAGGACTAATGAATGTACTACATCTCGTTCAAAAGTGGCTCTTTCTTTCTTGATTTTTTCGCGGTAAATGGTATCCAAGAAACTAAGTAACGGTGTCTCGAGTATATCTTTTCCAGCTTCTTCATAAAACTTGCACGTCTTGGTTAAATACGTAGCTTGTTGAGTTTGTTGCCACCATTTCTGTACTTGGTCGTGTACTTTTAAGAAAATCGTTTCACATTTAATCCTAAAAAGAGATTTATTTATTGTCCTTCTAGTACGGAATAGCTTATCAATTTCTTCGACAATGACGCCTTCCATCTCATCTTCTTTGGGTTGATTGGTATAAAACGTAATTTTGCCCAAAAACTCTTTTACTTTTTTCTTTTCGTTTTCATCATAGACCAAAGTTAATTTTGGAAAATTAAAAATATCAATATCGAATCTGTAACAGCTAATGTCAACAAACCACTTTTGCAAGAAATCTAAGACTGCAATACTATCGACTGATAAATTCTGAGTGTTACAGTTGAACATCAAAAGCTTGGTTTACTCATCATATATTAATAAGTTACCTACTAAGCCTGCTAATCCATTAAACCCAATGTCTGCTAGTTGCAATAGCTTATCTGGACCAAACATAAAATCGTCAATTTTGACAATCTTCAATTCGTCGTTTGTATCAACATAAGCATTCTCCAGAAGTATTTTAAGCTTAGAACAAAACGTATCTAAGTCATTTGTAGTTTCACTTCCATTTAAAGAAAATGTCACATTGCCAAAGTTTGGAGGTAGTTTAAAAAGCATTGTCTCTGCTGCAATTTGTTCAGACTCAGGTTTATTGTTATTGACTTTTTTTATTTCTTTCAGCAAATTACTCTTCATGGAGAAAAATTTTAGGTCATTAGCATTTAAAAAAGTTGGCCGAAATTTTCCAAGAGAATATGAGCTATTCGAATAATCTAATTCTAATACATTTTCTGCAAGAAAGGCCTGATATCGAATTAACAAATAACTTATCTTGCTATTTTGTAAGGTCATAGCACATAAAGACTGTATTAAAACCGTACCTGTTATAACTTGCATTGAATCAATTATGTTATTTAAATAGTTCTCATCGTAATCAAATTGAAACATTTTTCCAGCTCTATCTATTGTGAGAAATCGAGTACTATCTGTATTATTTACAGTATGTTTTTTATAAAAGTTTTCATGCGCAGACGTAAAAGCAACAATTTCATAATCGTTTTCAGCGAGTGATTTTGGCCATAAATTTTGATAACCCGCTAAATATGCATACAAACTTAAATCCCCTTTTAATTTGAGAATGCTGTCAACTGTAACTTTATCTTTTGATGGATCGTCCTTGTTTTGAACTTGAAGAAGTATTATTTTCCATTTTTCACAATTTTTCAGTTTATATTTTATATAAATACCATTCAAGGTTATCGGCAGCATTTTTAGGTTGACGCCTAAGTAAAAATCTGTGATTTCATTGTCATGCAAAGCTCTCAACAAGATAAGACTCAGAAGTTTTGTCTCATAACGCTGACCACTGAGAGCTGAAGTTCCGCTTCTTTTGCAGTAAATCAATGGCATTGTTGTGTGTTTATTCGCCGCATCCGACTTTGTATCATCATTTGGTGTATAAACTTGTTTGTGAAAATTAGCACATTGTTCTTTCAACAGCGTCCTAAAATACTTAGCAATGGCTAAACTTTTAGATGGTTTTAAAATTGTAGCTATATCAATTGCTGTATGTCCATTACTATTTGTCAAAGTAATACTTGCTCCTTTATCTACGAGGAATTTCACAACTTCTATTTCTCCTTTTAATACTGCAACATGCAGTGGTGTATTGAATTCATCATTGGCATCCATGGAATTGATGTCAGCGCATTGATTCAAATATTTACTCACTGTTTTAACCTTTTCCTCTTCTGTTTTATGTTTTCTAATAGCCGTAAATAAGAGTGCATTTTGCAGAAGTATATTTTCAAAATCTGTATTATTATCCGCCATTAGGTTATGAGCCATTCAATTCAACTTCTCAATATTTTGAAAATTATTGATGTACCCATGTATGTACGTACATTGACATATTTCTGCATTCGAAAACTGGAATAGAGAAAATTGTTAAATTAGGAAAAAAATACATTCATAAAAAATCAATTTAATAAATAACTGCAAAATAAATTTACCTAATCGAGAAATGAACACATATTGATTATTTTCTCATAAAGATATTATAATGGTTTAGGAAATGTGCAAATAAAAAATCTAATATACGCAAGCATATGATATATTATTTCATGTTTAATATTTAAATACAAAACTTAAACGTATTCTTTAGAAAAAAGACATTATTTACACACAAATGCATATTTGACAAATACATGTCGGTATATCAGACCTTTTTTTTTATAAAGTAATAAAATGATAAACGCACTTTAAAAGTACAAAAGGACATGTTGAAAAATTATTTAGTTTGCGAGTAAAAGTAGTTAAGAAACCATTATTTAACTTACAATATTTTGTAGTACATTTTTTTCTCAAGCAAACATAACTATTTAATGACTGTCTCACTAGGTAAAGAGTACGTTACAATTTGGTCTAAATAATCAATAGCTATAACATTGGATATTCAGAGCATATAAATTTTGCAGACATGACTCGTGTCATTTCATAAATTAAATTATACTTATTTTATCTTTTAACATTAAAATAAATGTTTTACGCAGAACTTTACAACTTACAAAATTAAAAGATTTATGATCTAAAATGTGAAGTGCTAATTCATTTCCTTGGAAAATAATATTTCTCTAACTTTCCATGTCCGAATTTTGTAATATTTTATTTGGTCCAGTCATGCTGTCATCAACGTTTACCAAAATGTAATTCTGAATTTTATTAATATCTTTATTATTTGCTTCAGATACTATTTTTTAAAATTTTGACCTTGAGTATGTTAATCTCCTTTGTTTTTTGGCATCACTACCACTGAAAGTAAAATAATTATCATTGTCAAAATTAATAGATGACTTGAACGAATCACTAAGATTGCATATTGAACTTACATTAATTATGATCATTTAACTTCTTACTCTCTAATATTTCTGTATTGATTGTTTTATTCATAAGCAATAAGAGCTCATCGTTGCTGGTCAAGAAAGTTTCTTTAAACTTTCCAAGAAGAATAGTTCCTTTCGGCGAATCTTGTATAGTTTCTGAAGTAAATACATTTCGAGCCAGGTACACATAAAAAGATTTCAATAATTCGTCCATCATCATATTTCACATCACATCACAGCCTATAAATACCCACTGCTGAGCAAAACCTCTTCTCACACGGAGAAGGTTTGAGCATTAATCACCACACTTCCACAATGCGGGTTGGAGATTTCAAACTTATAATTAAAAACTATAAGCCAAGGTTTATTTGCGATGTTTTCTTTCACCGTTTGTCAGTGGTGTCTAAATAGGCAATTACATATAACTCGGAAAAAGTTACATTGGTATTTGGTGTTGGTAGGTTTTAAACCGGCATTGTCATGGATAAGAAGCGGGCGTCTTAAACCTCCGGGCGACCATGACACGATTCTGTTGTTGGCCTGTTCCAAAGAACTAATTAATCAGAGCGCTGAAAGTGGTAACGTTTCGATCTCTTTCAACATAAGACCAGAGAAAAACGAAAGTACAGGTAAAGTTACCCAGATGTATAATAATATGTTTAATAAAACATGAATACAGAATTATAGTTTTTAATAATTTTGTCGTCTTATTTCTAGTTTAATTAAGTTTATTTAGGTAAACAATAGCTGTATTTTATGCTATGTTACAGAGATTCTCCCCAACTTAAAAAGGCTAATTTTCTTTCTTAAGTCACTTGTCAACAAACAATGTGTTTGTACTCACACTTTAATAATAACATCTAA